CTTCCTTCAGGTTCTCGAGTATGCAGGGGCATCATTGAAATTTTCTTGCACTGAGATGAGCAAGGAGTTAACTCGAATCAAAGGGGCATTTCCGCAATTATCCATGGTTAGGGTCAGGACGGTAAATGTGTTTGGTAGAGAGGACAAACAAACGTCTTGGAACAAACAGGGGCATAAGCAAAACTTGGTGCAAACCCTAGGGGCATTTTGGCACTATCCAAAACCCATTCCAGCTTACTGCCTGGCTGCACAAAACCAGAAGTCCGTGAAGGTCGATATTTTCTGGTAAAATGGCGTTATCTCCAAACTTTGTCAATTGAAAGATCCAAACGGTCAAGACGTGCATTCTGAAGTTCCCCCAAGAGGTGCGTCGTCCGATCTTTGGTCAGAGGCGTCTTTCAAGAGTAATGAAAAATAATTCATCTGCGTGTTGGAATGTCGTGCGGAAACCAACCTTTATTTCTTGTGGCCGCCACAGAGGAGTTCCTTTCGACGGACAATCTTGCTCTTGTTGGGAGCACTTCAACTCATCTCTCTCTCTCTCACACACATAAATATCTAGTCACTTGTCCATGTGAGCTCAACAAGGATTGGGTCTACGCCTTCAAATCTGGACCACACATACTATATTTTAATCTGCACTTGCCAGATCGTCCCATTTGAAGATTGGGTCTTTACTCTTTTCTGCTTCCCTCTTGAGGGTGATTAGAACTTCATGATTGAACTGACTTAACCCCAACTTAATTGACTACCCACACTGTTGGATTTTTGCCTTGTTGATATCTCAGCCCGCTTGAGCAGACTGTGTTGACGGTCCAATCATGCGCACACAGTTTAGCACCCACGCATAGTCACACGACCACGCACTCTGGTACCCTCTCTCTCTCTCTCTCTCTCTCTCTCTCTCTCTCTCTCTCTCTCTCTCTCTCTCTCTATCTATCTATCTATCTATCTATCTATCTCTATCTCTATCTCTATCTCTATCTGTGTGTGTGTGTGTGTGTATCTTCGTCCCGTTCACATATGCCCTAACCCACTTTCGTTTCCCCCGAGTAGAACACACTGCCATCAAGGCTGTATCAGTCTCACACACGTGTCGCTGGCACACATACCGGCTCGCTTGCGCACCCTCTTGCCCGGTGTTTCGCTAGTGCATGCATGCTCAGCGCCCACTCATTCTCTCTTTCTCTCTCTGATATACTCTCATCCCCGCGCGATCACTCGCACTGACCCGCACTCTCTCTCCCTCATTCTCTTTAGTAGCGCACTCACTCTCTCTCTCTCGTAGCACGCTCATTCTATTTCTGGTAGCGCACTCTCTCTCTGCATAACACGCGGCTCGATCATGCGGCCATCCGCTAGAATTGTGGGCAAAAAATGAGCCACGTGTCATAGAGAGAGAGTGAGTGCGCCACTAGAGAGAGAGAGTGAGTACGCAAAAAATGAGCCACGTGTCATAGAGAGAGAGTGAGTGCGCCCAAAGTAAACTCATGCATTCGCCATACCCATCCGCTAGCATTGTGGGCAAAAATCGAGCCGCATGTCACAGAGAGAGTGAGTGTGCTACTAGAGAGAGAGAGTGAGTGTGGTACCAGAGAGAACGAGGGAGAGAGAGTGTGGGTCATTGCAAGTGATCCAGCGGGGTTAAGAGTGTGGTCACGCTCGAGAGTGTGTCAGAGAGAGAGAAAGAGAGAATGAGTGGGGGCTGAGCATGCGTGCGGTAGTGGAACAGCAGGCAAGAGGGTGCGAGAGTGAGACGGTATGTGTGCTTGTGAGTGAGTGTGTGTGCGAGAGAAAGAGAAATAGAGAGAGGCTGCATCGCTGAAAACAGCGTTTCCAGCAGCTGTTCCCTCAAATACAGCACAGGGTTCATCGAGACTGATGCAGCCTTGATGAAGCAGTAGGCCATGAAGTCAACACCCAAGGCAAGTTGACAGGGCGTCAAGCAGCAGGGCAGCACCGACAAGGTGATCCACGCCTACAAAAAGGACCAAAGCCTATTATCACCACTTACTCGAACCACAAGCAGAAATCTTCAGACTGCAGGCTCGCACTATCATGAAGAGTTGGGGAAGCTTCGTTGTGTTGACAAATGTCTGTCACCACCAGGGATGGCCATCTCATGGACATCTCGAAAACAGCAGTCCCCGTTTGTGACGCACGTGTGATGGCACGTGCGGAGATGGTGAAAAGAGAGAGAGAGAGAGAGAGAGAGAGAGAGAGAGAGAGAGAGAGAGAGAGGAGATGGACACACACATGAAGCAGCAGCTGAGTGGAGGTCCAGTCCGGCCAATGAACGAACGAACAACTGAATGAATGAACCTGC